TGAATTTCCGCCTTGTTGCCCAGGCTAGAATGGCAATGGTGCAATCTCGCCTCACTGCAACCTCTGCCTCCTGGTAGGCGGCTAATTTTGTATTTTTGTAGAGACGGGTTTCTCCATGTTGGTCAGGGCTGGTCTTGAACTCCGACCTCAGGAGATCCACCCACCTCGCCTCCCAAAGTGGCTGAGATTACAGGCATGAGCCACCGCGCCCACCGTGCAAACCACTATTTTTATAACAAAGGCTCAAATTTTCACTTTTGTGTCCATTGTGCCTAGGTCTATTGCTACATCGAAGTGAAATAAATCAACTTTTTGTTTTTTTCAGGCAAGGTTTCACTCTGTTGCCCAGACTGGAGTGCAGTGACGGCAATCGTAGTCTGCTGTAACCTCAGTTTCCTGGCTGGGACGGATCTCATGCCTAAGTTCCTAAGTAGGCTATGACTATAGGCGTGCACCACCATGCCCACTAATTTATTTTTAGTAGACCTGGGTCTTGCTACCTTGCTCAGGCTAAATTTTGTGGTTTTTTTTTTTTTTGAGACGGAGTCTCGCTCTGTTGCCCAGGCTGGAGTGCCGTGCGCGATGTCAGCTCAGTGCAGCTCCGCTTCAGAGTTCACGTCATTCTCCTGCCTCAGCCTCCCGAGTAGCCTGGGACTACAGCGCCGCAGCCGCATCAGCCCGTAGTAGGTTTTTATTGTATTTTTAGTAAAAGAGACGGGTTTCACCGTGTTACGCCGGGATAGGTCTTGGATCTCCTGACCATCCGTGGATCCACCCCGTCTCGGCCTCCCAAAGTGCTAGGATTACAGGCTTGAGCCACCGCGCCCGGCCCTTTGTTTGTTGTTAATTCTTTTTTTTTTTTTTTTTTGTGAGAGCCGGAGTCTGCGGACTCTGCACCCAGGGCTGGGAGTGGAGTGGCCAGATCTCGGCTCACCTCAAAGCTCTGCTCCCGGTGAGGCAGGAGAATGGCGTGAACCCGGGAGCCGGAGCTTGCAGTGAGCTGAGATCTGGCCACTGCACTCCAGCCTGGGAGACAGAGCTAGACTCCGTCTCAAAAAAAAAAAACAAAAAAACTCTGTTGCCCAGGATTGAGTGCAGTGGTGCAATCATGGCTAACTGCAGCCTTGACCTCCCTAGGCTCAGGTGATCCTCCAACTTTAGCCTCCCAAGTAGCTGGGACCATAGGCATGCACACCTCCACCTGGCTAATTTTTGTATTTTTTGTAGAGAGGGGATCTCACCATGTTGCCCTGGCTGATCTCGAACTCCTGGGCTCAAGCAACGTGCCTGCCTCAGCCTATCACAGTGCTGGGATTACAGGTGTGAGCCACCATGCCCCCAAAATCTTTTTTTTTTTTTTGAGGTGGAGTCTTGCTCTGCCGCCCAGGCTGGAATGTCGTGGCATGATGTCAGCTCACTGCAACCTCCACCTCCTGGGTTCAAGCAATTCTCCTGCCTCGCCCTCCCGAGTACCTGGGACTACAGGCACGAGCCACCACACCTGGGTAATTTTTGTATTTTTAGTAGAGACGGGGTTCCACCATGTTGGCCAGGCTGGTCTTGAACTCCTGACCTGATATGATCCACCCACTTCAGCTTCCCAAAGTGGCAATCCGTGGCTTACGGATTACAGGTGTGAGCCACCACACCCGGATTCAAAATCTTTTATAGTTGTTTTTCTTTCCATTTTTCTCAAATTACAATCAGAATTTATGAATTGGATTGGTTGGATTGGGCTCTTTAATATAAAACAGCCCTGTGACCACCTTTCTTTTTTTGGAATATTGACATTTGGAAGGGAGGGGCAGGAGAATTATACAATTTTCTGAATTTATCTTTTTTTGTAATTAGATTCTCAGTAATACATTTTATATACATACATTTTATATACGATGTTTATATATATTTGTATATGTGTATGTATTTATATTTTTTCTTTTTTTTTCTTTTGATACAGAGGTTTGCTCTGTCACCCAGCCTGGAGTGCCATGGCGCTATCTTTGCTCACTGCAACCTCTGCATCCGAGTTCAAGTGATTCTTGTGCCCCAGCCACCCAAGTAGCTGGGATTCTAGGCATGCGCCACTATTCCTGGCTAATTTTTATATATTTTTTAGTAAAGATGTTGACCAGGCTGGTCTCGAACTCCTGGCCTCAAGTGGTCTGACTGCCTCAGCCTCTCCAAGTGCTGAGAAATGTCTTACTACAATGTGAAATGGCAATTCACATTGTAATGAATTCACATAGGCAGTGTGAAATGTCTTACTACATTATATCAGGAGACACATAATAGTAGTTTTCTCACTGTTGAAAACTTCTTTGAGGTGATGTTAACTAAATGTCTACATTATAAAGTTTAATTTCCTCCCTTTTTTTTTTTTTTTTTTTTTTATCTTGAGAACGAGTCTGGGCTTGTTGCCCAGGCTGGACTGCAGTGGCGCGATCTCAGCTCATTTCAACCTCCACCTTGGGTTCAAGTGATTCTCCTGCCTCAGCCTCCTGAATAGCTGGGATTACAAGCATGCACTACACCTGCCTTATTTTTTTTGTATTTTGAGTAGAGACGGGGGTTCACCATGTTGACCAGGCCGGTCTTGAACTCTTGACCTCAGGTGATCCGCCCACCTTGGCTTCCCAAAATGCTGGAATTACAGGTGTGAGTCACTGCACCCGCGCTTTCTCCCTTTTTAATTAGTAGTAATGATACTTTGACACTGAGAATACTGCTCCCCACCAACCATTCACCCAATGGTTTTAGTCTTTTTTTGTGATCTTTGTTTGAAAATAGGGTTACTCTTAACAATATAAGTGTAAAAAGTACACATTCAAGAGTTTTTCCAGTTCTTGCTGTTCTTGTATTACTTTCCTAAAAAGCTAGTCTTAAATTAGTTAGCATATTTAGAAAATGTGGAAACATGTGGTCGGGCACAGTGGCTCACGCCTGTAATCCCAGCACTTTGGGAGGCCAAGGCAGGCGGATCACACTCACACGAGGTCAGGAGTTCGAGACCAGCCTGGCCAACATGATGAAATCCCGTCTCTACTACAAAACAATACAAAAATTAGCTGGGCATGCTGGCGCGAGCCTGTAGTCCCAGCTACTCAGGAGACTGAGGCAGGAGAATTCCTTGAACCTGGGAGGCGGAGATTGCAGTGAGCCGAGATCCTACCACTGTACTTCAGCCTGGGTGACAGAGTAAGACTCCATCTCAAAAAAAAAAAAAAAGAAAATATGGAAATATGTAAACATTCTGATAGGAAATGTTTCTTATAATTTAGCAGACACATTTTAAAAATACACTTTATTTTCTCCTTTCTTTTAGGACCATCGATCGTTCTGTTTTTAAACCAATTGTCCAAATAGCAGTGATTGAAAATTCTGAATCACTGGACTGCCAGTTATTGGCTGTCACACATGCAGGTATGTTGTTTTATTTACATATCTGTGTTACTGTTACAGCTTCTGAAAATTCTTAGATTTGGAAATTTATGATTAGAAATATATTTTTACGGCCGGGCGCGGTGGCTCAAGCCTGTAATCCCAGGCACTTGGGGGGCCGAGGATGGGCGGATCCACGAGGTCAGGAGATCGAGACCATCCCTGGCTAACACGGTGAAACCTGTCTCTACTAAAAAATACAAAAAACTAGCCGGGTGAGGTGGCGGGCGCCTGTAGTCCCAGCTACTCGGGAGGCTGAGGCAGAGAATGGCGTGAACCCGGGAGGCGGAGCTTGCAGTGAGCTGAGATCCGGCCACTGCACTCCAGCCTGGGTGACAGAGCGAGACTCCGTCTCAAAAAAAAAAAAAAAAAAAAAGAAATATATTTTTACTTCCATATCTGCTTTAAAGCCATATAAATAATTTGTAAAATAAAGGATTTTGAAAACTGGGAGACTTTTCTGTTTCTTCATTTTATAGATACAAAACCAAGCCTAGCCCAGGTATGGTGGCTCACACTTGTAATCCTAGCACTTTGGGAGGTCAAGGTGGGCAGATTGCCTGAGCCCAGGAGTTCAAGACTAACCTGAGCAACATAGTGAAACCCTGTAACCCCGTCTCTACTAAAAATACAGAAATTAGCTAGGTGTAGTGGCACAGCCTTGTAGTACAGCTCCTTGGGAGGCTGTGGCGGGAAGATCGCGTGAGCCCAGGAGTTTGAAGCTGCAGTGAGCTGAGATTATGCTACTATACTTCATCCTGGGCAATAGAGCAAGACCCTGTCTCAAAAAACTAGTAAAAAAGCAAAACAAAAGCCAAGCCTAAACGGCACAGTGGCTCACATTTTGTAACAAAGCCTGAACTGGAACACAAGATTTCTTGGTTTGTCTTTGCAAGTTCTTTCTAATGAAATGTATTGATTCACCTCTCAATTTTGAGTGACATTTTCTTAGATATATATTTCAGCTGATAGTCTATATGGTAATTTAAGATTAGTCAGGGGGCTGGGCGCAGTGGCTCACACCTGTAATCCCAGCACTTTGGGAGGCCAAGGCAGGTAGATTCTGAGGTCAGGAGATCAAGACCATCCTGGCTAACATGGTGAAACCCTGTCTCTACTAAAAATACAAAAAATTAGCCGATGTGGTGGCGGGCACCTGTAGTCCCAGCTACTCGGGAGGCTGAGGCAGGAGAATGGCGTGAACCCAGGAGGTGGAGCTTACAGTGAGCTGAGATCGCACCACTACACTCCATCCTGGGCGACAGAGCAAGACTCTGTCTCAAAAATAAAATAAAAATAAAAATAATTAGATGGGTGTGGTGGCACGTGCCTGTAGTCCCAGCTACCTAGGAGGCTGAGGCAGGAGAATTGCTTGAATCCGGGAGGTGGAGGCTGCAGTAAGCCGAGATGGCGCCTCTGTACTCCAGCCTGCTAGACTCCATCCCCAAAAAAAAAATTAGTCCAGAAAGTTATGTATGGTTTTAGCAGAGTTTTGCATTGCTGTATGTAATTGCTTCAATAACACATTTACCTCAGGTCCTTATTTTCTATTACTGATGCATAATTTTACCCCATCTTCAGGTGTAAGGTTATATTTCAGCACTTGTCCGTTCAGACAGCCATTAGCACGGCCTAATACACTGACGCTGATTCACGTCCGCTTACCTCCTGGATTCTCAGCATCTTCAACCGTAGAAAAGCCTTCAAAAGTACATAGAGCACTTTATAGTAAAGGTAAGTTCTGAAATACTATCAGATTTAAGATGAGATTCTTAAAATTGTTAAAATTATATGGCGTTTTGAGGCATTTGAAAATACCTATGACAACAGTAGAAACTGGGGACTACTAGAAGGGTTGGGGAAGTAGGGGAGCAAGGGTTGAAAAACTGACCGTTGGGTCTTATGCTTAGTACCTGAGTGATGGAATCAGTTGTACCCTAAACCTTAGCACCACGCAATATACGCAAGTAATAAATCTGCACATGTACCTGCTGAATCTAAAATAAAATTTGAAATTGTAGTGAAATTCAAAAGTTGAAATTGAAAGTATAGTTTTCACTCCTACATTTAGGTTTTTGATCTGTTTTGTGATAATTTTTATACGTTGTATGAGGTAGGAATCTGACTTCATCCGTCTGCATGTGGATATCTAGCTGTCTGAGCACCATTTGTTGAAGACTATTATTTCCCCATTGAATTGTCTTCATCTTACTTTCTCACGTGAATTACCCGTTAATGTATGGGTTCTGGATTCTCAGTTCTATTCTATTGGTCTGTATTATCCATCTTTATGTCAGTAGTACAGTCTTGATTACTGTTGCTTTGTAATAAGTTTTGAAATTGGCAAGTGTGACTATTCCAACTTTGATCTTTTTTTTTTTTTTTTTTTTTTTTTGAGATGGTCTGGCTCTGTTGCCGAGGCTGGAGTGCAGTAGCACAATCTCTGCTCACTGCAACCTCTGCTTCCCATGCTCATGCCGTCCTCTCACTTCAGCCTCCTGAGTAGCTGAGAGAAGCTACAGGCGTGTGCCACCACACCTGGCTAATTTTTATATTTTTTGTAGAGACAGGCTTTTGCCATGTTGCCTAGGCTGTTCTCAAACTCCTGAGCTCAAGTGATCTGTGTGCATCAGCCTCCTAAAGTGCTGGGATTACAGGCATGAGCCACCGTGCACCTGGCCTGATTTTTTTTTTTAAAGATGATTTTGGCTATTCTCAGTCTCTTGAATTTTCATATGAATTTTAGAATCACCTTGTTAATTTCTGCAAAAAAAGTGAGGTGGGGCCGGGTACAGTGGCTCATGCCTGTAATCCCAACACTTTGGGAGGCAAAGGCAGGTAGATCACTTGAGGTCAGTTGGAGACCAGCCTGGCCAACATGGCGAAACCCCGTCTCTACTAAAAATACAAAAATTAGCTGGGTGTTGGGGGTCATGCCTGTAGTCACAGCTACTTGTGGGCTGAGGCAAGAGACTTGCTCGAACTATGGAGGTGAAGGTTACAGTGAGCCAAGATCCACTCTAGCCTGGGGGACAGAGCAAGAGTCCATCTCAAAAAAAAAAGTGAGATTGGATTGTGATGGCTAAATCGGTGTATCAGTTTGGGGCATGTTGCCATCTTAACTATATTTAGTCTTCAAATCCATGAATACGGAATATTTTTCCAAGTCATTTGGGGGTGGGGAGGAAGGTTCTCACTCTTTTACCCAGGCTGGAATGCGGTGGCAGGATCTTGGGTCACCTTAGCTTTAACCTTCTGGGCTCAGGTGATCCTCCTTGCTCAACCTCCTGAGTAGTTGGGACTACAGGCGTGTGCCACCACTCCTGGCTAATTTTTGTATTTTTTGTAGAGATGGTGTTTCACCATGTTTCCCAGGCTGGTCTTTAACTCCTGGGCTCAAGCAATCCTGCCACCTCTGCCTCCCAAAGTGCTAGGGTTATAGGTGTGAAGCCACTGTGTTGGTGAGTTTTTTTGAGATAATTGCTTTTTTTTTTTTTTTTGAGACAGTGTCTACTGTCACCCAAGTGGGAGTGCAGTGTGCAGTCATGCCTCATTACAGCCTCTACCTCCCCGGCTCAAGCAATCGTCCTGCCTCAGTTTTTGTTGAAATAAGGTCTTACTTTATTGCCCAGGCTGGTCTCCAACTCATGGGCTCAAGTGATTAGCCTGCCTCAGCCTCCTAAACTGCTGGGATTGCAGGCATAAGCCACAGCACCTGGCCCAGATGATTGCTTCTATAGTACACTTATCTCTGCCATTCCTCTGGCACCTTCATCATTTTTATTCATGGTGTGTTTGAATTAACCAGTATATAAACTGTATTTCGTTGAATATTAGCTTCTATTACGTTGTGAATTGTCAGTCACAGCATTTTCTATATACTAAATACATTTTTATAAAATTAATAATTAACTTGATAAGCCCATTGACTGCAAGATATACCCTAAGTTCAGAAATGCTAAAATGAGAAAAAAAAATATGTTTACCTGAGAGAAATACAGTTTAAAATTGAGAACACTTAAGGAGTCTACCCTAAAAATAATTATGTAGTCTTTCATGGAATTATTTTATTTTGTAACTTGTTTCTTTATAAAGATTGATGTTGTGTATGTATATCTATATGCGCTAATTTTAAGTTGGCATAAAAGTACTTGTGGTTTTGTAAAAATTTTTTTTTTTTTGAGACGGAGTCTTGCTGTGTCACCCAGGCTGGAGTGCAGTGGCACAATCTCAGCTTACTGCAACCTCTACCTCCTGGGTTCACACCATTCTCCTGTCTCAGCCTCCCGAATAGCTGGGATTACAGAGGCCCGCTGCCACGCTCAGCTAATTTTTGAATTTTAGTAAAGACAGGGTTTTACCATGCTGGTCAGGCTAGTCTCGGACTCCTGACCTCGTGATCCGCCCACCTCATCCTCCAAAAGTGCTGGGATTACAGGCATGAGCCACCATGCCCAGCCCGGTTTTATAATTTTAATTGCAAAACCGCAATTACTTGTGCACCAACCTAACAATAGTTATTAAGGTTATTGAGGATGCATATTATTTGACATGATGTAATAATATTTTATATATTAAACTTTTAGGTATTCTATTGATGGCAGCCTCAGAAAATGAGGATAATGATATTTTATGGTGTATCAACCATGATACTTTCCCTTTCCAAAAGCCAATGATGGAAACCCAGGTAAGTTGTCCTGACAATTCTGAAAAAACTATTATATAATTTTAAGTGAAGGATAATATGGTAAGAAACTTTTTATCTTCTGATTTATTGCTGTTTACTTCTAATAACATATGATTAGAAATTATAATGTAAAGAAATTATCCTGTCAATTATTTGTTTGTCCTCTGTCAGGTTAGAAGTTCCTGTGGTAATCACAAAAAGACATCTTTAAAGAAAACATTGGACCCTTGTAGAGTATTTTCCATAATGTACCAGAAAATACATGTATCTTTTTTTTTTTCTGAAAACATGTCAGGTTCATATGAAATGATCTTTCTCTCATTTAAATATGTTGCTTGTTTAGTTATTTAAATATGAGGCCATCCATTATAGTTGTGACTTAGAATTTTATTCTAACAATCTCTTTGTAATTTTGTCTTTTTCTTTTTTTTTAATTACGGAAACTTTCAAACATAAAGTTTGAAGAATCAATTGAACCTCACATAAGAGAACTGAGTTGCCAGCATCTTTCTTATTGTATTTCATTTTTCTTTCTGACATAAACAAAGGGACACCCACAAACACACAGTTTTGTTTTAAACACAAAAATCACCACATACATCATGAAGTGGATATGGTCTTCCTAGGTGAGGGCCGAGGCTGCTGTGAACCCACGGACTGCCCCCTGCCCTCAGCTGCCCATCCTAGTCCCCAGTTTGTAAGGAGGTGAGGGGAGGCTACCTGTCTCCATCCCCTTGGTGTCCTCTGCTCACTCCTGCCTGTCCTCCTAAATAGTCCTGCATAGCCGACTGAGGCTGCTGATCAAACCAGATAAACCAGCCCCTAGTGGGGTGTGAATGTCTGGTACTGTGTCTTTGAAGCTACCTCTTCACAGGCATTTTGCTTCTAGTTTTCGCAGAAAACTAGTGGTTTGCTGGTAGTTCTTAAATTTGAACCCTTCCAGATGGGACTGGCAAAAGGTGTGTGTAAGTGGGAGGAGGAAAAGCAGAACTCCCAGGGATGGGAGTATTGTCTGCATGAGCTCTACCAAATTTCTGACAAGGTTCAAAGAGCTGGGGTAGGAGCAGGAGGGAGATAAGGAGTGCCCTTCTTCTTTCCTTTATTCTTTGAGCTTTACTGAGCATGTACTGCCAGCCTTGTGCTGTGATAAACTGTGAGGATTCAGAACTTAATAAGATATAAACTCTGTCCTGGTTGGGATTTTGTGCTGGTGGGGGATAATGATTTTAATCCTGTCTCTACTTCCTCAAAACTGTGGAGCAGAGGACACATTTTTGGCTGTTTATTCCTCTATAATCGTTATAATCATACCTGCCACTATGGAGTTATGAGACTAAATGAGCTCATGTGTGTAAAGCACTCAGAACAATGCCTGG